TGCTCTCAGCCTCCATGGATCATAGCTTTTGTTAAGACACATTTTGCAGCCAAGCCTTCAGTGGAACACTGTGTCACAAGTACAGTATCTGTAGATGAGGGAAAACTCATGTAGTCTTTTGTTTGGTCTTCTGTGGAATTCAGCTTACAAATGTTGTTGCAGAATAACCTTTCATCCTAGTTGCCGTGTCCTGTACCACAAAAGAATCTGCAGAATGCCAGGATAAGAGCTCAGTGATTCAACTGGTCTCTAGTCTGTGACTGCTGTTTGACTCTGAAAAGAATTCTGAGGAGTCAATATTCAGAGCAGTTTATGAGTTAAACACCTAGCTACGGGTCTGTTTCTTTTACTGAGGCATGGGGGTTCTATACCAGTACTAGCGTGAGTTACTCTAGGTGCAGTGTCTGGGAGCATGGATCACTCTGTGAAATGGTTGCCTTGTGCCTTAAGGAGAAAACAGTACCTTCTCGGAGCATGATCCTCAACTGCTGAGCATCTGTTTTCAGTGGAAGTTGGGACCACTCCGGTCCACACCCTCCAGGGCGCTCAGCATTCAGACGGCTCACGTGAACTCTTTTCTGGTTATATAAAGTATTTGTGAAAGTGTGTGTGTATGATTTATATAGCAACATGCCTCCCCTCCCCCGCAACAAATGACACATTTTGGAACCTCACCCTGTTGGCCATCCTGCTTCCTCGAAGTTATGGTTTATATTGTTTTGGTGCCTAGGATCCCATTGTGCTAGGATGTATAATCAAAGTGGTATTATTTGTGGCACTTCTTGTGCCAGGATGTATACAACTTTCTCTGATTGATTTCAAATCAGCTTGGTGATAACAGTTCCGTTCTGTCTTTCCCTTTAAACAGAGATGAGGCCTGAGCTATAAGTTTTGCATCCAGGTCCGAGCTTCCCCAGTAGGTCCATGAGTGTTTAGATCTAGGTTTTTGGCTATTTCTAATTCTGAAGTGATAGATGTAATGCACAGGTGGTGCTAATTAGCTACTTGGGAAGAGTCTCTAAAAGCAATTGTCCATCTCTCTAAAGATTGCTCTTCCTGTTCTGGGTTGAGATAAACTTTGCAGCGGTATCGTGAGCTCACAGTGCAGCTGTGCTTTCTACCATTGGCGTATGAACAAACAAAGAGAATAATATTTTGTTATCAGGCTGGTTGTTGGTGCGATAGCTCAGAGAACAAATCTTTTGAAAATCCTAGGAATAGTTTCCTTCTTTTCCCTGCAGCAACATAAAAGATAAGCTTTGGTTTCCCAACCAACAGCAAATTATTTCACTTAATCAGGCTTTTCTCCCTCTGTGTACCCAAGAAATTCAGGAAACCAATCTGGGGCCAGAAAATACATCTCAACACCCGCTCAGGGGACAACACTCAATGTGAACACATACCCCTCTCATGAACAGGGGGAAACTGACTGAGATTATTATCCTAATTTAGGATGATAATATTAAAATCTCCAAAGCTTTTATAGTTGGCTTAAGTGAAATTCTTTCTTTTAATGTTTAGCTTTGAAATCTGACACTTCTCCTCCTCCATCCCCCCAGTCCTAGGTTTGAGAGGGACAACAGCGTATCTAGAGGCGAAGCAAGTGTTTCATGGTAAATTTAGCATTCTAAGCCTGATCCAAAGCCCACCTGAAGTCAATGCAAAGACGTACTTGAATTCAGTGGACTTTAGATCCTTCCCTTTGTGATGGATAATGCAGAGAGCGTAGGAACATGCTCTCCCTCAGCTTCTCTTGTGAGCATGGCATCTGGTGAGTGCATAAGGGGCCAGTACAAAGGGGAGCAAAGGTCACCCACCATATAGCTTTTTTTCCTTACTCTTCTCCCTGGCAATGATACTGATTGATGCAACCTTCCCTCTGGTTGAGAGGCAGGCAGTAATTGGCTCATAGGAAGTATATGGAATGGGTCATGTCACTTTTACTATATACATTGGGCCATATTCCTCTAATGCCTCAGGCAACCCCAGTGGGTTCTATCTAATGTAATCTATTTACAGGGCTCCAACACCAAGGTGTTCGAGTGCCTGCGATCTCCATGACTAGGGAGCAAGGGTTCAGGACAATTACTCAGATTGCAAAACATGATGCAACTGCTCCTGGGTGAAATAAAATTGTTTGATTACTGAGAGATGAGGTAAGTGTTATTTCATAGCAATGCAGTGTGCATTTATACATCAGGACCATGCAACCTTAGCATTGTATGCTGGAGCATGCTTAGAAATATTGCACAGCAACTCAGGACAGAAAATGAAGTAACCCATCTTCTCTGATTGAAATGTGTGTGTGTGTGAATATGATTACCTGTACTGGAATGTGGCTAGGACTCCAAGGTTCACCCCTACTGTTACAAATAGTGTCAAGGGATTCTTAATGACTCCAAGTTGTCAGGACTCCTGTTTTACGTCTCATCTGTAAGAAGGGATCACCCAGCAGCATACCATGCTGGGGTACTGGTTCAGAACAGACTCCGATGAGTGCTTCCTACTGAACTACCAGCACCACTTCCTTCAACGCTCAAGTGTTTCTTGGATGTTTCCTATCCAACCATTGACCCAGCTGTACCATGCTTAGGTTGGGATTTCTGATGGGGATACATGCACAAGGGTTTAAAGCTGCAGGTATATGGGGATATAATTTCTCGTGAAAGATGCATTTTCCTGCTTTAAAAGCCAAGGATTGTGTAAATTTAATTTTCTATAACAAAAACAAAATAATGTGTAAGGCCTAACATACAAATCCTTGGTGTCCTCAACAACTCCCCAATGGACAATAAGTGCTTAACTGTAAGTGCTTCATCCTTGAGCACTAAAATAGTACTATGGCCTTTGGTTAATTAGAAAACAGATTGCTGCTAGTAGTTTCAATGGAAAATTTCAGATGACACAACTTCAGCTAGCTGTTTCTTTTTTTACATTTCACTTGCATAACCACTTTACTATAGGCAAGAAGCGAGACATTTACAATAAAGTTCCTTCAGTAGCCCCCCTCCTGAGTTAGTCAGTAGTTGCATACGGGGTTTTTGTTTTTTGGGGATTTTGTTTTTTTGGTTGCTTTTGTTTTCTGTTTGGTTGTTTTTTGCCATCTTGGGAAAATGTGTTATTTAAAATAATAATAATTCTTCCAATCTTGATTTCTTCAAAGATGTCACCTGAGCTTCCACTGAATCATTGTATGTCACCTACATACACATACTTGGCACATTGACACATGCAGACTATTTTTGCATATTATCAGTACATGTTTTTCACTGTTTAATATCACTGTGCAGCTTAGAAAAGAAACGACTAAAGGGGGATATGGTAGAGATCTGTAAAATCATGAATGGTGTGAGGGAAGTGTTATTTACCCCTTCACATAAAACAATGAAATTAGTAGGCAGCAGATTTGAAACAAACGTAAGGAAGTACTTCTTCACAAAATGCACGGTCAACCTGTGGAACTCATTGCCAGGAGATGTCTTGAAGGCCAAAATTATAAATGGGTTCAAAAAAGAATTAGATAAGTTCATGGAGGATAGGGCCATCAATGGCTATTAGCCAAGAGGGTCAGGGATGCAATCCCATGCTCTGGGTGTCCCCTAAACCTCCAATTGTTAGAAGCTGGTACTGGACGATGGGGGATGGATCACTTGATAATTGCCCTGCTCTGTTCATTCCCTCTGAAGTGTCTGCCACCAGCCACTGTTGGAAGACAAGATACTGGGCTAGATGGATGATTGGTCTGGCTGAGTATGGTTATTTTTACGTTTTTATGTTCTTATCATTAGCATGTTGGTTTCCCTCCGCAGCCACCTTTGAAAACTGAAAGTGATTAGGGCTATTAACATGCAATTCAAAGAAAAATCCCCAGAATTTTCTGAGTTGCAAAAATGAAACAAACACAAAATTTCTATTTTTTTTTATTGTGTATATCATGGAAAAGTATGGAATAGAACTTTAATGGTACATTATTTTTAATGTTTATATTTGCTTAATTTTTGTTTTTCTGTTTCTTAAATGCACTTCCAAACATGAATGCACTTTATTTAATGTCACATGTTGGCTTTTAAAGGTTGAGTGCTCTGTGTTTGGAAGAAATCAAACTCTCCCCTTCCCCCATGCCACAACTTACAACCATTTAAGTCACCTAGGTGACTGTCCTGGCATGGTTAGATATAAATATGTGCTTGTAGTCAATGAAGTTTTGGATACTCGCCAGGTCAGATGTCTCTAGGAGGATGGACACTGAATGCAGTTCCATTACTGAACCCCCAAGCAGCTGGCTTATACTTCAGCCTTCCATCACAATTAGCTATAAATATGAAGTCTGACTATACAGTTAGCTTCACAGCCTGGTAACAGGTTCAGTTTCCCACTCTACAGTAAGTATTTGGTTTCTGTTTGACAGCTATTTTAGAAGAACTATGTTAAACTTCACGTGCTGTTTCATGCATCTTTGTTAATCAAGTTTGGATACCACTGATGCCAAAACAAAGGCGCACAGGTCTCTGACTGTGCAGTGTGGAAGGGAGGAAATCTGCACAAAAAGCTCTTGTGGGCTATGTGGAAGGTGAATGTGGGTTACGTGGGTGGTCCTGCCTGCTGTATAACAGTCTTATTGCCCTTCCATCCTGCAAAATAGCCGTGCAGCGAATAGACAATATAGGCTATTTAGGTGGGGCCAAAATTGGAGGGAGGAGCTGCATTTTGTCATTTCCCCTCCTCTCCTCAGACTGCAGCCAAACCCCAGGAAAAGTCAGTGGAAAGTTAACACTGCCTGATGCAGCACTGATTCCTTCTGTACACTCAATAATTCCTCTGTCTGGAGTCATGATATGCATCCAGAGCTGCTAGCCAGGGGCAGCATAGTTGCTAGGTCTACTTTGTGGGAAGAAAGCTGCTGGGGAGAAGGGAGGATGCATCCCTCCACACAGTTAGACAAGATCTGTGAGACTGGAAGCTCCACCCCCATTCACTCTGTAATCCTTCTACTCCCATAGGCTGGAGGAAGAATACTCAGAAGTGCATTTATTGTGGAGATGGGGAACGTATGAACCAAAGTCTGTTTGCTGAGATATACAGCACGAACCTCAAGGAATTAGTGCTGAGATCTAGAGTAAGTTAACTTTCTAGGGGGCAGAGGGATAGATGTAATATCAAATCACTGAGGCTGGCAAGACTTTGCTTCTTGAAGGGTTTTATTTAATCTACTCTTGGGGGAATTCTGCACCAAAAAATTAAAAATTCTGTGCGCAATATTTTAAAATTCTGCAAAATTCTGCATATTTTATTTATGAAAATAACACAATATAATCATGCCAGGTTCAATTATTTTGGTAATTTATTTCAAAATACTGGTCAGCAAATATGTCTATAACAATACAGGCAACAAAAAAGATTCAGGAAATGTTTGTTGACAAAGCAATTTCTTACTAAGCATATTAATACAGAACTCTGAGTAATAATTCATTTACACTACAATACAGAAATGCATTTCCTGCACCCCTCCGAAGCAGTGGAAAGGATTGGGGGAATTAGGGGTAATGGAGGAGCAGAGGGAGAGAGAAGTAATTGCTGGGCAGAAGCCTGGGAGTGAACCTGGAGTGTTGTTGGATGTGGATGGGAGAAGTATGGAACAAGTTTTTGGGAGTGGGAGGGATTGTTAGGTTGTTGGGGCGCCTCCCCCATGCAGACCCTGGCTGACCCCTAGCATCTCCCATTTAGTCAGGCACATCTGTCCCTGTCCCAAGGTGTCCCATCTCCCCATCCTCGTGTTCCTGCACCCCCATTCAGTAAACCCCCACCCCCTGTCCCCATGTGGCTCTGCACCTCTACTCCCATTCAGCCCCCACCCCAGTCTGTCCCCCCACTAGCCTTTCTGAACTCCAGTCTGTGTGACCCCCCAAGCAGCCCCGTTTGCCCCACTCCCTGTCCCACCCCACATATCCCATGCCTTCTCACCTGGCCCCGCAGGCAGGACGCTGTGCGGAATACAGCCTCTCATCCTATCAGCTGCTACAGATGGAGCTGACTGCCCTCTGTTTTGATGCCACAGCAACCCCGATGGGCAAAAGGTGCAACTGCAGCAGCTCTCTGGCAGAATGTATTTTCTGTGGAGAAAAAAAATCTGTGGGGGACGTGAATTCTGCGCATGTGCAGTAGCGCAGAATTTCCCCAGGAGTATTAATCGTAAGAGCTGTTACTTTAAATTTAATTTAACAAGAGCCTCTTCTTTAATCCTTAAAGACCCAAGAGTGAGTTTAATACACCCTTATAGAATTCTAAAGGAATGACTGGGACCAGAATAAACTCCTCTCTTGTCTCTCTTCATTCTTTCCTCCTCTGCCTCCATGTTGCCCCCTCCGCTCTAAACCGAGAACCCTCTTACCTCCTTTAATGTCTTTTGCCCACCCCATGAACAAGTGCCTGAAGTGGACCTCTGCCAATGGAGAACATGCTTCATGCTCCCCACTGGCTAGCTGCTTAGAGTAGCTTTAGGGCTCTACACCAGGACCATATCCAGCCAAAGCTTCTGCCTCATGCTGCTTCTCCTCCTGCAGCATGGAGCAAGAGCGAAGGCCAGGGAAGGAAATGGTTCCATCCAGAAGTCCTGACCCTGGCCCCACTTCCCGGCATGCAAAGAGTCTTGTCTGTGCCAAGGATGACACTCCCTACCCCACGCCCAGATCAGGAAACTGGCCAGTCCTGAATGTGTTAGACACCCAAGGATTGGACAGTACCAAAAGGGTTAATATCAAAACATTATTTCAAATGTTCAGCATTTTTCTTAGTCCTGGGCACTGAGTTTATCTTTGTCTTTATGAAAACTGGCCATGAACAGCTGAATATATCCAGTCTGGCTTTTGGAACTGGACTATTGAAAACAGAGAGAGTCATTTAAACTCCTGCATGATGGGATTGTTGGAAAGGCAGGAAGTTTGCATTACAGATGCTGTCAAAACCTAACTTTTCACCAAGCATTTTGTTCTTTAATCTGACATGAAAATGCCTTGAATGGTGCAGGCAACATTTTTCAGTTAAAGGGACACTGCCAAGGTCAAGACCTGCATTTTCCCTCCTCCCAACCTGTGCTATAATTTATTTTTTCTTTTCAAATGAATGCACTCTCTCCCCCTTTCTCTCCCTGACCTCCAAAAATAGACTTGCCTCTGAGAGCTACGCACAGTCTCACAAATCCCACTGAAGTCAATAGGGTTGAAGTCAAAGGCCACATCTCAGGTGTGGGTCTTGTGAAACCAGCTCAGCAGGCAGGACACATCAGTATTTAGCAAGCAGTCAAATGGGGGGGGGGCATGATTAAGGAAATGGATTTCAGTTTCCTGGTTGCAAAGACTAGTTATAAACAACATACGGAGGAGACAGACATTTATTTAAACTGTACCAAGATGAGTGCTCACAAAAGGTTGCCAGACTAACAGCTCTGGAAATTGGAATCCTCTATCCACTGAACACATGTGGGCAGTGTCAGTTTATCCTCAGTGTATTTCACACCAGGCCTAGACTGAACTCTGCTAGAAGTGAAATGGTAATTCCATCTCAATGCTCATTCAGTCAGTGGCTTGCGTGTTTATTGACTCTGTGAACAAGAAAGCCAGTTATGGATGATCTGTGATATGCGCGCCTGTCGCACTCAACTCATTTCACATAGATAGTAAAGACTGACTGTTGATTTGGGTGCAATTTTGAACTCTAAGGGCTTGTTTTTTGTTTGTTTTTTAACTCAGGGAATCTGTAATGGACTACAAGCCTGGCAACTCTAGTTCAAATCCGAGCCAGGTCGTTGGTGAGTTGTGACCAAATCTTTCCCATCTGATGGCTGTTTGGTGGTCTATATAAAATGAGGTGGTAATCACTGGACTGTGAAATTCAAATTCCATGTTCTGTTTGTAGAGTGCATTGAGCTCTGAGATGACAGGCACCATAGAGGTGAAGAGGATTTGCAAGGGACAGCAGCAGTGTAGAAAAGTTCTGATCTAGAAATTTCAAATGATCTTTCAGAAGGATGCATGCATAGTACCGCCTATAGACAAATATAGTGGTGTTTTGTGCATTAGTTAACTAAGTTTATGTGCAAAGTCACAAGTTCTTCGTGTTTCAATCTTTTTCTCTTTATTTCTATTCTCTTGTAGCAATTTTTACAAGGCACAAAGTCAGAGGTAGTGTACAATATCCAAGCTGTGAGGTGCCCTACCTCTCTTTCTATTTTATTCAGAGGATCTACTGACCCACGAGTAATGCTGAGGTCAGATATCTGGTATGTTATTTAGATCTGTTAAGAGATTAGTTCTGATTGGATAGAAATTCCACACAAAAGACAGCATGTGCTTTTATTGTAGTTACTAAGATTAAGGGGGCCAGGTATAGCTGTGGGAAGTTGCTCAGATGAAAAGAGAGGTCAGTCTTTGAAGTACTGAAAGACTGTTTGGTCTTGAATAGCTTCATCCAGCCTATTACAACATGGTAGCATGATTTATGACAAACAAACCTGTGGCCTCATATAAGAAATGCAGAACCTTCTCCCACACACAGAATAAAAATGACTATCAGGAGGCATATGCTGGAGAACGTTTAGTACTGTACTTTAAGCCTGGTAAGTCGCACTACCAAAGTATGCCAGAGAGACTGTAGTATGCAGTGTAGTTGTAGCCACGTCTGTCCCAGGATATTCTCTCTCACCAACAGAAGTTGGTCCAATAAAAGATATTACCTTATCCACCTTGTTTCTCTAAAGACACGGTGATCAGTTTTGTGTCTGAGATCGTGAACATACATCTTCCACTAAGTACCAGATACAGAATAAAGAAATATTGGTCTGGGGTGGCAATTATGGGCCACATTTACTGCTATGTGGATTTCTGTTTGTGTTTCATTTTGGTCCTTTCATTGAGTTTTCTATCTCCACGTTAATCCAGAAGATGTTACTGGTAGAATCGTGTTGATTGAGTTTGTAAAATCCAGGAGTGTTCAGGAGAATCATGTGGACAGATAGACTTGGTGTGGAGTTTTCTGAGTCCTCCATATGAGCAGTTTATTTCCCTTAGAACCGAATATACAATCTTTAATGTATGTTGAAACATTTGGCCAAATACAGCTCACTCTTATATTAGCATACATCCAGAGTAACTCCACTGAAGTCAGTGAAGTTATTTGGATGTATACCAGAATAACTGAGAGCAGAATTTGGTCATAGGGTCAAATAGAAACTTGGTGCAGCTCAATATGTATTGATATCTGTGGATGCTGGAGTTGTATCAATGAAAAATTTTGCCCATGATCTTTAACTGGAAGCGTGGTACATCAAAAGAGGAAAGGAACTGCAAGTATAAGAGGTAGCATGGAGCACCCCAAGAGGGGAACAGGAAGTATGTGAGTTGTTATCTAGGGTGGCAGAAGTTTCGGTGCTCAGATTACTGTTCATCCCACCAGAGGTGCTTCCCAGTTTGATAGGAGCAAGGTATCTATTAGAGCAGGGGTGGCCAACCTGTGGCTCCAGAGCCACATGTGGCTCTTCAGAAGTTAATATGCGGCTCCTTATATAGGCACCGACTCCAGGGCTGGAGCTACAGGCACCAACTTTCCAATGTGCTAGGGGGTGTTCACTGCTCAACCCCTGGCTCTGCCACAGGCCCTGCCCCTTCTCCCCCCAGAGCCTCCTGCATGCCACAAAACAGCTGATCAGAAGGTGCGGGGAAGGAGGGGGAGGCATTGATCAGCGGGGCTGTTGGTGGGTGGGAGGCGCTGGGAGCGGAGCAGGGTGGGGGAGCCAATGGGGAACTGCTAATGTATTACTGTAGCTCTTTGGCAATGTACATTGGTAAATTCTGGCTCCTTCTCAGGCTCAGGTTGGCCACCCCAAAGATCTGGACTGTTGAAGTCTGTTCAGGGCTTTCTCTAAGCAACCATCTGTTTATGCCTCTTTCAGAAGAGACTGATATGGTCCGAGGTATCTATGGAGTAAGTTTTCTCAGTTATTGTGCCTAAATGTTTGCCTCAAAGTTCTGGGCTTCAAATTTTCACCTTTTTTACGTTTCCCCTTTAAACTGCTCAGAAAAGCAAGATGCTCAAGGATTGCGAGCTGAAGGCTTTATGCTTTAA